TCTCTCTCTCTCTCTCTCTCTCTCTCTCTCTCTCTCTCTCTCTCTCTTTTGGGTGGGGGATACTGGGGATTGAACCCAGGGGAACTCTACAAAAACTGAGCTATATTGCTAGTTCTTTTTTATTTTTAATTTTGAGACAGTATCTCACAAAGTTGCCCAGGCTGGTCTTGAACTTGTGATCCTCCTGCCTCAGCCTCCCAAGTTGCTGGGATTACAGGCATGTGCCACACCCAGCCAGCTCCATCCATTCTTGCATTCTCCAAGTACCTTCCTCTCTACAGATGGCTGAGCCACCATCTGTCCCCTAGGCATGCTGCTCTGCCCCCTGGTGCTCTTCTGTTGGCTCACATCTACCCCAGAGTTCAAGAGCACTTGCTCTCCCTCTCTTTCCCGTGTTTCTCCTTAGCCCACCCTCCCTCTTTCTCCTGGCTACATAAAAGAACCCAAGAGCAAACACACAAATGTTGTTGGCAACCTGTACATAGTGCTTTCCTGGTTTTACATTATGTTCTTCTCTCCTTAATGTGGAATTTTCCAGAAAGATGTTTAACTCAGGTGTGAATTTTGAAGATGTCTCTGTAATATTTTATCTTCTTTAAAAAAAAAAAAAAGGAAAAAATACCAAAGTGTGAAATACTTCCAGAGTTCCCTCTCAGGCTGGGAATCTGCTGACTTTTTTTGGGAATATTATCTATCTCTAGAGTCTCCTTTGTGGGCTATAACATGAAGCCATCCCAGAAATGGTCACTTTTTTTCTTTTTTTTAAAGACTGCATATCCAGGAAACTGTTGAGACCCAAAGGAATCTCTCGGTTTCTAAATAAATCTGTATAGTGATGATATAAACTATGTCATCATTGGTAGAAGAGGTTTGGATCACCGTGTTGTGCCTTTTCGTTGTGAGGAGTGGGAAAGGGGAGGGGATATGAGTGCATATAAAGAAATGGGGTGAGAAGAATGATTCAAATTGGTACATGAAGTGTATTGCCCCCAAAGGGGAGGCTAAAGATGGCCTACGTTAACACAGGGCCCTAACGAGTTCAGAGTTCTTACTTCCTGGGATACAACTATCCTGGGACACAGTAGGCAAGAATTATTTTCCTCATTTTGTAAGTGGACAATGGTGAATATTTAAGACCAAGTCACTCAGAGACTCCAGAGGTGGAGCTGAGGCGAATCTCTCTTATCTCAGATGTCCTGAACATTAATTATAATTTATTCACAACATGAAACCTTAGAAATTTAAGGCAGAGTAAATTTCAAAACCATATATATGAAGAAGGTTGAGATGCAGACAAGGCATCCTTGTGTTTTCTCTTAGTTGAATAAAAACTTAAGTAGCTACACATCTGGGCATAGTGACACAAACCTGTAATCCCAGTGACTCTGGAGACTGACAGGAGGATTGAAGTTCTAGACTCAGAAATGTAGCAAGACCCTGTTTCAAAATAAAAGGGACTGGGGATGTTGCTCAGTGGTAAAGCACCCCTAGGTAATGGTGAATGGGGAAAAACTAGAATTAGTATTAAACAGTTGTTGCAAATAGTAACATCCACATGAGAAACCTACACATAAATCCTTAGGAGTGGACTCCTCCGGATGTTTGAATAGGGCTTACTCTAAGACTTGTAGTTCATGCCATGAGGTAGGAGAAAGGCTATTGGTAGCAGTTACTTTCTCAAGAAAAAGATCCACAACCACAAGAATGGGACCCTATTTAGAATAAATTATACTCCACCACCAAAAAAAAGGGCGCGAGAGAGAGAGAGAAGAAGAAGGGGGGAAAAAAGATCTAGTTAAAATCAGTGAGCTGAAAGTTGGTCTCTTGCACTGTCCCCAAACTCTGGTTTTCATCCAAGGGCTCATGGTTGGGTTTTTTTTTTTTTTTTTTTTTTTTTTTTTTTGGTACCCAGCATTGAATCCAGGGATGCTTAACCACTGAGCCACATTCCCAGCATGTCCCCCACCCCACATTTATTTTTTTATTTTGAGACAGGGTCTTGCTAAATTGCTGAGGCTAGCTTTGAATTCATAATTCTCTTGCCTCAGCCTCCTGAGTCACTGGGAGTGTAGGCATGCACAGCCATACCCAGCAGCCCATGATTTTTATGAAAAACAGAATTGTAGCCTAATTGTTCCATCTCTGTAGGTTCCATTGACTGGGACATTTGCTGCACAGAGTCTAACCTGGAAGTGAGTACAGATTTAACTTTCATGTCTGCATGATTCTGTGAAATCCATAATTCCAGGGAAGTTGACTGGAAGTTTGGTTAGTTTCTTCAGCATCTATTTATAGATAAGAATCTAAGGGCAACAACCAATCATTGTTAGTGGGGAAAGAAAAGAGGAAAAGATTGTTACTGTTGCTTTTCAAATTTTATTTCATTCTTTGTTTGATCTTTAGTTCACTCTAAGCTGGTGAGTACAACTGTGGGCTCCTAAGGCAAAGGATTTTTGGTTCAATTCAGGGAAGCACTTATTAACCCCAGGTCTCAAATCAGAAAGTCTGTCCGGAGGCCTAAATTTCTGGGTGCAGTGATCCCCTCTATGGGTACTTTGCATGCTCCTGGTATATCTTTGGGGGTTCCTCTGCTCCCATGGATTCTGGGTGTGTGTGTGGGTGTGTGTGTATGTGTCGCAAGAGGTGCTATTAATAATTACTCGGGAGGTGGATTGTCTTTAAATGCCAGTATATATTCAATCACACCAATCATCAAATATAAACAATTAATACAAAAAGTGTTGGGTGTGCGGGAGCACCCCAACTACAATTCAAAGCACGCTAATTAAACACTATAAGCAAATCACACAATCCTAGGCTAACCACAAGCCCCAAAATACCTCCAATGCCACGTGACTTCTCTTACCCAAAGAGCAGACTTGTCCTTGTCTGGTGGTTCTCTCCAGCCAATGGCTGGATGTCAGAGAATGGTGGAATCAGTCCGGGACAGTCAGCAAGGTGGCCAGTCTCACTGATGTCCTTGGAGCAAAAAATCTTTAATGTGGCAGGACAAGCAATTTAAATACAGTTCCAAGTTGGTGGTGTACATTTGTGATTAGTTCCACCCAGTGAAAGTCAATGTCCATTGTTACGTCTGGTGAGGTGATATAATTGCAACTGGGCATGTTCTTCGTGCATGTCCATGGAGCTGTGCTCCCTATCAATTGTAACCAGTCATTGCTAAACTTGCCTATAGCTAGTGTCCTTTACAACTCCTTATCAATTGCAAGCAGACATGACTAAGCATGTCAATGGCTGCTGTTCCTTATGGCCAGCAACTTAGTGAATCCCAGCATGTCCCAGCATGTCTATGGCAGATGCTCCTTACAGTGTGGAAGGGGACCCTTGGAGTTGAGGCTTATTTTTTTTCTCAGTGTCCCCATACTTAACATTGTGCCTACCTCATAATAGGCAATTAAGATTTTTTTAAGTTAGATATGGTCTTTTTTCTTTTGTCCTTTATTTATTTATCTTTATGTGGTGCTGAGGATCAAACGCAGGGTGAGGCAAGTGCTCTACCATTAGATACAACTCCAGCCCAGGCAATTAAGATTAAAGTAGAATTTCTTTTTTTTCTCTAAACAACTTCTAATATTCTCTACTGTGGTAGGAGATACAAATGCAAAACATAGTATACATATTAGGAGACCTAGTCCAGTTAGTACCATATCTTGGTGGTTAGGAGCATGAACCCCTAAATTATCTTCCCTGAGATCACGCCCACCTATGCTTCCTATTTTTTTTTTTTTAGTTGTTGAAGGACCTTTATTTTATTTATATGTGGTGCTGAGACTCGAACCCAGTGCCTTGCACATGTAGGTAAGTACTTTGCTTCTGAGCCACAATCTCAGCCTCCTTTGCTTCGTATTAATCATGTCACTTTGGGAAAATTCTCTCCTGTTCTGTGCCTTAATTTCTCACCTGTAAAATGGATGTAAAAACAGATCCCATTCCTTAATGTTATGATGAGGATCGAATGAATTAGTATTTGAACAATGCTTGAATTATGTCTGGTGAGTTAATAAGGCAATGCTGTATAAGTGTTGTCAGTGTTATTGTGATTATTGGGTCATTGTTATTAAATCAGTGAAAAGTTTCCTGTTCTCTGCTCTCCCTAATAGCCCAAATCTTTCCCGGGGGATTCCAGTATTAACAAGGATCTGTTTTGGTGGAACAGAGGTTGTGGCCAAAGATATATAAATTAATAAAGTTTAATCCCAGGTTATGGTGCTTGAACCTGGAATCCTAGTCACCCAAGCCTAAAGGACAGGTGCCTTCCTTAATCACCTCAGCCTTTGGACTCCTGAAGGCTTTAACGCTGTATTCTTTTATGGAAAATGGTGGCAACAAAAAGAAAGTCCCAAATGCAGATACAAAAAGATGAAAAAAAATACTACAATCAAAACAAACAGGGGAAAGGTTGAGATTTGCATACTATCCATTTACTGAAATGAATCTTGGGATGTTTTCTTTCTTCAGGGTATCATCACCTTTTATTAGGTCTATCCCAACACATTTGTAACAGGTCTTCTCCAATTCATCTTATAGTGATTTGTTAAAATTTAAAATTTAGTAATGTCTGCTTGCAATTTGTTAAAATTCAAATTCTGGTTTAGTAGTTCCAGAGCAGGGTTCTCAATTCTGCACATCTGAATTGCGGGGGGTGGGGGTGGGGGATAAAAATAGTTGATACACAGAACTTCTGATTCACTTTGATGTATGGACAGGACATCAGGATTTAAAAAATCTCCTAAAATCCCAGGCACCATGGTATACCCTGTAATTCCAGTATGGGAAGTTGAGGTAGGAGGATCATAAGTTCAAAGCCAATCTCAGCAATTTAGTGAGACTAAGCAACTTAGTGAGATCCTTCCTGTCTCACAATAAAAAAAAATCTATAATTATTTCAATATTAATTCTATTGGCCAGGTGCAGTGGGGAATTCCTGAAATCCTAGTGGCTTGGGAGGCGGAGGCAGGAGGATAGCAAGTTCAAAGCCAGCCTCAGTAACTTAGTGATGCCCTAAACAATTTAGTGAAACCCTATCTCAAAATAAAATATATTTTAGAGAAAGGGCTGGGCATGTGGTTCAGTGGTTAAGTGCCCCTGAGTTCAACCCCCAGTATTCCATCCACCCCAACCCCTACAAAAACAACAACAAAAATCTATTGTCATATATAAATGAAAAAAGAACCAATAAAAAACTGTGACCAAATTTTAAAAAATACAATAAACAAAAAATAAATAAATAAAAGGATTGGGGATGCTGGGGATGTGGCTCAGGGGTTAAGAGCACCTGTATTCAATAGCTGGTAACAATAAACAAATAAATGCAAGCTCTGCAAACATTTTTTTCTGTGTGATCAAGGTTGAGAACAACTGCCTAAATGTGTGTACAAATCATTGGAACCTTGTTAAAATGCAAATCCTGGTTTAGTAGTTCCAGAATTATGGTCTGATTATGTGTTTCTAATGAACTGCCAGGCAATGCAGATTCTGCTTGCCCACAGACCACACTTTAAGTAGCACAAGCTTGGAGAGTATGGTAATATAATTCCCTTGCTCAATAAAATTGATGGGTGTGGTGATGCATCCCTGTAACCCCAGCTACTTGGTGAGTGGGGCAGGGGGATCGAAAGTTCAAGTTCAGCCTGGGCAACTTAGCCCCCGTCTCAAAATAAAATGTCTAGGAATGTAGCTCAGTGGTAGAGCACCCTTGAGTTCAATCTCCAGTACATATGTACATATATAAAATCATAGGCATCTGCTGGGCCTATGATTATATATATTACACCTGTAATACTAGAAGTTGGGAAGCTGAGGCAGGAGAGTTTTGAGTTCAAACCAGCCTCAGCAATTTAGTGAGGCCCTAAGCAAATCAGTGACACCCTGTCTCTAAATAAAATATAAAAAAAGGGCTGGGGAGGCTGGGGTTGTGGCTCAGCAGTAGAGCACTCACCTAGCTTGTGCGAGGTGCTGGGTTCAATCCTCAGCACCACATAAAAATAAGTAAATAAAATAAAGGTATTGTGTTCAAGTACAACCAAAAAATATTTAAGAGGTGGGGGGTCTGAGGATGTGGCTCAATGGTTAAGTGCCCCCCTGAGTTCCATCTCTGATACAAAAAAAAAAAAACCAAACCAAACAAACAAACAAAAACACATAGGTTTCCTCTTTTCCATGTAAGAAGATCTCCAACCCCGCTGCCTGGCATCATAGAAGCAGTAAATGCCCTCTAACATCATTGGTTCTCAAATGCAATTGATCATCTGAATGACCTGGGGCAGGTAGAAAAATCTACAGATTCCTGGATCCCCCGCCAAACTTATTAAATCACAATATTCAAGGTGACATCTGCATAAGGGCATTTTGAAAACACTTTCCAAGTAGTATGCATTGTAAACAAACTTTAGGTACTTCAACATGCTTTCAATATAGTCTTCCATTATTCAGTCAACAAACATTAATTGCACCTGCACTAGGGGGGGAAAGATGAAAATAGTGCCACCCTTACCTTTGAGGGGTTGGCAATATAAATGACCTAATGAGAAGATTTAATATTCCCAATGCATAAACACATCTGCTAAAGGTTTTGTCTTTTGAAGAATGTGTGGGTCCTCAGTACCCCATCATTGTTCATCTTGATCAAAAGGACAGTCAACCTCCTTACCCCTTTGAGTTTTCATAGTTCTCTCTTTGAACTTGCTCTCCTTCTCCTTGGTATTAAAATAGACCCAAAGAGGAACAAGGATTTACCCAAAGTGAAATAAAAACAATATATCATATTTATATGGTGACTTCCGCGTCCCTTTTGTTCTATGCACATTACAGATGTAATTTTAAAAAATTCTCTTAATAGGCTGATATGGTGGTGCACACCTATAATCTCAGCCACTAGGGAGGCTGAGGCAGGAGGATCCCAATACAAGGCTAACCTCTGCTGGGTGAGCACTCCTGGATTCTATCCCTGGTATAAACAAACAAACAAACAAACACCCTCCCAATTATGACATAGGTATTATTACTGTCCCTACTCTGTAAACAAGAAAAGGGAGAGACAAAAGAACCAAAGGCAGAACTTTTTCTCTGATATGCTGATGCTAACTCACAATAAGGGGCGCAATGCCCAGGGAAGAAAAGAGTCCATTTGAATTAGAGGGGAGGGAAAGGAGGAAAGGGGTGTGGGGCAGGAAGGATAGTAGAAGGAATCATTACCCTATGTGTATATACAATTACAAAACCAGTGTAACTCTACATCATGTACAACCAGAAGATTGAGAAGCTATACTCCATTTATGTATGAAGTGTCAAAATGCATCCCACTGTCATGTATAACTACTTAGAACAAAAATAAATAAATAAAAAATATTTTTAAAAAAAGAAAAGGGAGAGACAGGAAAATAACCCACCCAAAAGCATATCCAGCAGGATTTACTCTTAAGCCTAGGCTGTACCGCCAAACTCGTGACAGCACTGAAATTAGTGTAACTTCTAATTCCTGGGTCTGAGCATCTTCCCGGTAACCAATCATACGAGTGCTGCTTCACACCTCAGATTCAAGCATTAGGGAAGGATTGTGTTGCATCACTCACAGTGCCTGGTGGGGGTGCAAGCGCTTAGTAGGCGCTCGATAAATGGTAAGTAGATAGGGTGAGCCACCGTGGAAAGGGAGGAATGGATGGATGATGATTTCAACCAACCAACCAAGCAGCAGCCTGCGGCCTCGCTACCACTAGATCGCCCCCCCTCCCTTGCCCCAAATAGGAGGACCCTCCATCCAGTTCTCCTTCTGAGTGACCCTCATCCAGCTGCGGCTCTGCGCTCTGTCCTCCCAGCCAGCAGGTGCCCCCAGGCCCCTGGCTCCTCCTCCTCCTCCTCTGTCACAGTCTCGTCCTCTCCCCCTCCTTCTGCTGCTTCCTGTTGCTGCGGCCCGGGCCTGGGTTGTGGGCGCCGAGGCGCCGGAGGCTTCCCGGTGCGCTCCGCAGGTAACCGCGCAGGCGTGCCGCCCGGCGGGTTGGGTACCGTCTGGCTCGGGCGCGGGGGTCCCAGCCCGTGCGGCCCGCGGAAGGGACCGAGGCGGGCGGGGGGCAGGGCCGGCCTGGCCTCGGGCCGGGAGGGACTCCTCCTGCCCGTGGGCGCCGGGGCCTCTGCGCCAGGCTCCGGGCGCCCGGCCGGGTGCCGGGATAACGGTCCAGGGCTCCGGGGCTCGGCGCCGGGCGTGGCCGCCTGCTGCAGGCGCGGCGGAGCGGGGATGTCACGGCGCTCTGCTCGCAGCCGGCCACGCCTGCTCCGAGAAGGAGCCAGCCCCTCGCCCTCCTCGCCTGCCCGGCCTGGGGCGCCCGCCGCCGCAGAGGAGCCTCGGCTTCCGAACCGCCAGGGCCATCGAGAGACCCCCAGTTCATCCACAACGCCGGCACCCAGACACGCAGCTCCCAAGGTCACAGAGTTGCATCTGCCATTTACAAATGTCCCTTCTTTGCTCTGGTGTGCCAGGGAATTAGGATTCAGAGAAGAGGACTCTTAAAAATACTAATCGCCATGTCCAAACTGATCCGCCTTACTGGCCGTGACTCTGGCCTTCAAAAGGAAATAAGGGGAACCCTTCTTTTCATTCCGAATACTTTGTCTTTCTGTTCCTTGCTCTGAAAATTGGCCTTGAAGTTTTGCAAAATTTGTCTTAGAACTCCATGTCAGAGCTGGACTGGACTAGAGAGTTCTCCAAGTCCTTTTTTTTCTTTCCTCCCGTTTATCTTCTGTTTTGTTTTTGTTTTAGGAAAAACAGTCTCTGCCGTTGAAGTGATTTGCCCACACTCATGCTGCTAGCTTAGGGCAGAGACCCAATGAAACTTAGGTCTTTGATGGACACCTGCTGTTTTCTTGAATGGAAATCTGATTTCAGATGAAAGCTGTACAGAACTTGACCTTCATAAAGTCCTCTCTGGATAACATTCTTGGGAGTGTCTTGTGTATTGAAGTGTGTTGGTCCACAGATACTATTTCACTTGTCAGAATAGGGTTAAGCACTAAGAGTAGCCATGCAGAAAATTCCTGCTGAGATGAGACAGATACCTGAAATATTTTTGACTTTTTTTTTTATTTGTATTTTCAACAGAGGAGCTAGTGAATATTAATAATGGCATCTTGGTCATTTTTGGATTTTATTTCTGTATGGCCAAATTCACTCAATAGTTGTTCTTTTTTTTTTTTTTTCCCCAATAGTTGTTCTTGTCCAAACTTAAATTAAGTAAAAATTCCAAAGTGTAACTTTATGATTTTTGTTTCATTTTTTTAACTGAATAATTGCCTTACAGGTTTTTTTTACATCTCAATAAAAACTCCTCTTGTGCCTCAAAATTCTTGTTCCCTAGTGGTTGATTTGGATTTCAGAACAGACTACAACTTGGATTTTTCCAGACACCCTTCCAGGATGTCTGGACTCTTGGTTCAGTTCTATATTTTAGTTTACCTCAAATTTTGATTTTCACTGATAAACCCGTGACCCAAATCCAAACCTCAGCTGAATTTAGTTTCAGCTTAAAACCACATGAAACTGTCACATGTCATGTGACTTCTAGCAGAAACCAAAGTGTTGTGCTTTTTCATGAGAACTATGCACTGAGATTTTTGAGATGTGAATACATCATCAGATATATGTACTGTATTTTCTGGGTATTATTGTCAAAGGTTGGTCATTGCCAGAGGGTTATTGTTGACATCTGCTCATTATAATATGTTGTTTTAGTCAGCATTTGTGTCACTGTGGCCAAAATACTTGACAAGAAAACTTTGAGGGGGAAAAATGTATTTTGGCTCACGGTATCAGAGGTCTCAGTCCATAGATGGTTGACTCCATTGTTTTGGATCCAAGATGAGGAAGAACATGGTGGGGAAGGATGTGACAGAGGACAACCAGGAAGCAGAGAAAAAGAGAGAAAGGGATCTGTGAAGGGTGCACCCTTCCAGAGCACGCCCCCAGTGACCCATCTCTTCCAGCCATGCCCCACCAGCCTACAGTGACCACCCATTTAGTCCATTCCAACCAGGATGGACTGATTAGGTCACAGCTCTCACAATTCAATCATTCCATCTCTGATCATTCCTGTATTAGCAGACGAGCTTTGGGGGGACATCTCCTATACAAACCATAACGTATGATATTAGAATGCAGTTCCCAGTTTCATTTACAGTTTTCACCACTGGCCAACATGTTATCTCTAAGGACCCTGGAGTGGTACATATATAGCCATACTGCAATAGAAGATTCTTGTATATGTAGACAAGGAAGAAGCATTTCAGTAAAAGCGCTGCTTTTGAACTATTCGATAACATTAATGAGGACCTGTATACAGAACACCCCAGTGCTGTTTTCTTAGGGTGCATCCACTGTTCTCTGGTTTTGGTCTTTTTGTCATAGGATGGCAGTGGCTCTGTGTCTGCAGGTGCTGTGCAGTCTCTGTGGCTGGCTCTCGATCTATGCATCTTTCTGTCACCTGAATAAGCACCGAAGCTATGAGTGGAGCTGCCGACTGGTGACGTTCACCCATGGAGTCCTCTCTATAGTCCTTTCAGCTTATATTGGCTTCATCGATGGTCCTTGGCCTTTTACCCACCCAGGTAGGTAGAGGACATTAGGAATCTTTCCATAGCAATTCATGATTTCGGGGGTAGTTTTAGAGGAATGGGATCAAGGTGGTGGAAGATGTGTTGGTTTCTTCTGAGGCCTCTCTCCTTGGCTGGTAGATGGCTGCCCTCTCATATGGTCACCCCGCTGTGTTTGTGTGTGTGTCCTAATCTCTTATAAAGACATCAATCATAATGGATTAGGGATCACCCAGATGACCCTATTTGAACTGAGTTACCTTCTTAAAGGTCCCATCTCTAAATATTGTCACATTTTGAGGTACAAGAGGCTAGAGCTTTAACATAAGAATTTGGGGAACACAATTCAACCCACAATTCCACTGGAATATTAAATATTAAATATAATATAAATATATTATATTAAATATAATATAAATTCCATAGATTTTTAAAAAAATTTCCTTAGATTCCCAAATTGAGTGTCCAAGTTTTCCCCAAATCTGTCAAATTGAGGTGAAAGGGTTTTTTAAGCTTTGTTTTATATGATGGTTCTTAATGGTTTCAAGCATATCAGATTCTTGCACCCTATGTGCTTGGACATGGGAATATCCTAATTTGGGGGGTTCTTTCCAGAGTCTGCTTTCAAAATGGTTAGTGCTACTAGTGTCCAATAACTTAATCCATTAAGTTAAGAAATTTATCTGACATTTAGGACAGAATGACCCAAGTGTGGAAATAGATCTTTATCTGGTTAAAGAAAAGAGGAAAGCCAGGCATAGTGGCCTCTTGCCTGTAATCCCAGCAACTCAGGAGGCCAAGGCAGTAGGATTGCAACTTTGAGGCCAGCCTCAGCAATTGAGTGAGGCTCTAAGCAACTAAAAATAATGTCTCAAAATAAAAAAATAAAAAAGGAACCTTAGCTCAGTGGTAAAGCTCCTAGGTTCAATCCCCAGTACCAAGAAAAAAAATTAAATTAAAAAAATAAAAGAGGAAAAAATCCTTGATTTTAATTGGAAGAACATACTGACTTGATTTTATAGTGTTCTATAGAGAGGACCCTGAGATTATTGACTGCGGAGAACACTCCTTGTTCTGATTCATTAGAACGGTATTTTCTGGGGCCAACATCATTCAGTTTGATAAAGATCAAGGTTTTAGATTTTAGTCTTTGTTGTTATCATTCAAAAGCTTGCGCCTGCCACAATTTTTTGTATCCTTCAGTGATTCTGTAAGGTTTGAAAGAACAATGTAGGATCACTGTGCAAGATGGCACAATCCCCTATTACTCAATTTGCTTCTGTCTTGGTTTGTTTCAGGCTCACCCAACACACCTCTCCAAGTTCACGTTCTCTGTCTCACCTTGGGCTACTTCATTTTCGACTTGGGCTGGTGCATCTACTTCCAGTCTGAGGGTGCCCTGATGCTGGCTCACCACACACTGAGTATCTTGGGCATTATCATGGCCCTGGTGCTTGGGGAGTCAGGCACAGAAGTCAATGCAGTCCTTTTTGGAAGTGAGATCACCAACCCCTTGCTCCAGATACGCTGGTTTCTCCGTGAAACAGGACACTATCACAGTTTCACTGGAGATGTGGTGGATTTCCTTTTTGTGGCTCTGTTCACTGGAGTGAGGATTGGTGTAGGAGCTCGCCTGCTTTTCTGTGAAATGGTCTCCCCCACACCCAAGTGGTTTGTGAAAGTCGGGGGAGTAGCGATGTATGCTGTGTCTTGGTGTTTTATGTTTAGCATCTGGCGTTTTGCATGGAAGAAAAGCATCAAGAAGTACCATGCCTGGAGAAGCAGGCGGAGTGAGGAACGGCAGCTAAAACATAATGGACATCTCAAAACACACTAGCCAAGGCTTGCTTCCGATATTGGATCGGACTGAGTCAGCCATGGGAACTAGGTCGGAAATCTGACTGTCGTGGAATCATGCTCATAACAAATTTCGGTTTCAAAAAAGGGCTAAATTTATTGATCACTTTGGTCAGTCTTCAAGCCGAGCATATACAGTATTAAAACAGTAACTTCTACAATGGCACAGTTGTGGAAAGTGAGAATCCTCAGTGATTGCTGGGAAGATGTCAGGATCATGAGGTAAGAACTACTGGCGTTTTCAAAACACAGTGACCTTGGGTCCTCTTATCCTTGGGAAGCATGATATTCAGATAGCCTTGAAAGAAACTGGAAGAAGTTTAGTACTGTTTCTTGTTCCTTTGGGAATTTCTTCAGCATATACTTGTTCCTGCTTTTCATGTAGCCCATTTATTTAAGTTCATTCCATGTACTATAAAGTGAGGGACATTCAGAAAGAGATGTACATTTGGCATTCTGAGCACTGATCAGAGAATTGTATCTGCTTAAACAAAACGTGATAAGAGGTGAGTGAAACTGGCAGTGGTAGGTGGTCACTTCCTGAACCTCCCTGTGCCCACTGTGTTGGAGGTCCCCAAGACTACCCCCTGGGTTCCATAATTTAGTAGGAGGACTTAGAGGGCTCAACATACAGTCTCACTCACAACTTTGATTCATGATAGTAAAAGGATACAAAGTAAAATTATCAAAGGGAAAAGGCACCTGGGACCAAGGGAAACCAGACACAAACTTCTAGAGTCTTCTTCCATTTGGATCACACAGGATGTGCTTAATTCTTCTGGAAATATTTTGTGACAACATATGAGAAATATTGCCTATCAGGGAAAGTTATTAAAGACTCAGTGCCTAAGATTTCTACTGGCGACTGGTCATATAGGCAGCCTCTTGGCATGTAGCAAGATTCAAGATTCCCAAAAGGAAACAGCATTCAGCACAAGCCCTGTTGTTCCCACACACACACAAAAATAAGGGACAATGAGCTAGTCTTTTAAAATTTTATTATTATGATGATTATTATTTACTTTTTGGTATTAAGGATGGAACCCAGGGGGTCTTTTCCACTGAGCTATATCTCTAGCCCTTCTAATTTTGAGACAGATTCTTCCCTAAATTGCTGAGGGTCTTGCTAAGTTGCTGAGGCTGGCCTCAAGTTTGTGATCACCCTGCCTCAATCTCTTGAATCATTGGGATAATAGGCATGTGTCACCATGCCCAGCTGAGCCAGGCTTATCAGTGAATGGTGAGAGCCCTTCATAATCTAAGTTCCCAGATGCCCATCAAGGGCCAACCTTGTAGGCCTTTCCGAGAAGAGCAGGTCAGGTCTGTTACATTAACTTTTTTTGCACAAAAATCATAAGAGCCAGAACTTTGGATATGAGATGAATGAGGTGTGGGTAGATTTACCGAGTCCTGTTGTACGGGTTTTGCCCAACCAGGAAAACTATGCCAGTTCTCGGGGCTTTTGTGCATTAATCTCCTAGGCATGAGAGGCCATGACTAAATTCCATAGGGATTTACCATGTGGATTCCACTGTGCTTGAGATGGGAGTTCAGGTTTCAGCTCTGAGTACGTGTTGCAAACTAGAACCAAAGACTTTTTAATGTGTGGCCTCAGGGTGATAAGGCTAATTTCTTTTCTTTTTTGCATTTCAGGTACGTTCCCTTTTAGTACTCTTACTACTTGTTGTCCTTTCTCTAAAACTGGTGCCAGTCTCTAAGAACAAACTAAAATGACAAGGCCAGTCTTGGAAGGGAAAAAAAAAAATTTTTTTTAGTGTGATAATCTTTAATCTCACATAGGAGGAACATAAATATGAATTTAGAACAAGGGGTTAGGAATCAAGAATTCCTGAGTTTACTTTAACTGATTTTGCTATTCCCTTGCCAGATCATTTAAGCATGTCACTTGTCTACTCTTGTTCTCAATTTAAAACCCAGGTGAATGAATGAAATACTCTGTATTTCATAGAGATATTATGTGGCATTTTGTTAATGGAGGCCTTTAATGTAGGGTTTTTATGAAAAAGATGAAGTAGTATTTATTTATGTATTTATTGCTTATTTATTTTTACCATCTTATTTGATCAATGGTGATTGGTTAATCCGTTGGTGAGTAAGCAAATAGTGCTACTGAAGTCAAGGTCAACAGGAAGTATCAGTCCATGGCCACTGGAGATACTAACCTAATAAGTGGTCTTGAAAATGAAAATCATTGGCCTCAGAAACTGAGGACAGGGAAGGTCTAATACTGCATAAAGTTATTACTGCAAAGGAAAAAGTAACTTTAAAGCCACATTAAAACGACTGTAATTTAGTTAAAGAGTTTTGCTGGACATTGAAATAATCTGACAGATAGCGTCTCCACCTCTTTATGATTAGTATCCCTAAAATGTTGGTGAACTTCTTTCCAGCAAAATTGTGGGCAAAGTAGGATGTGGGGGAATGCTGATTTCAGCAAAAGCCTAGCAGAAAAGAGTGGCTTGGCGCATGAACTTAAAATAAAAAGAAAAAGCTGGCTGTTGAATTTTGGCACTCTGCAACCTGTTCCATACCAGACAAATGAATAGGCTTAATCTGGTACCAGTTCTTTTCTCCCTTACCCATCAGACATAAAGGGATTGCAGATCTTGCTGTTGGGGTACTCTCATGGGAATGTGTTTGTTTTTGTTTCATAATGAGAAATCTGAATAAATGCTGGGTGGGGGGATCCCTCATTTCAGCTCTTTTGGTTTTGTGCTAATAACTGAAGAAATTTCTCTGGGAGAAAAGTGTGAAATGAAGATGACTCAGCAGTTAAGGTGTTGAGTTTTTGCACTACAAGTAGATAAAGGGCTAATTAACCTGTGGTCTGGCCTGACAAAATGAAGTACTCATTTGCATTTGGATTACTATGTAATAATAACTAACACTGCTCAAGAAGGATTTATATTTCGATAAGATTTGTACTAAATTTTATAAAAAATAAAATAACATTTTATAAATTCAGAGTCTGCCCTTATGTCTTTGTTGAGTTTTGCCAAGAAGTTACAAAATAAATAAAAAGAGGAAAGAAGCCCAGTAGTTGCCTTTGACTTATAGAAATGTTGATTCCTGTTTACATTTACTGGTAAAATATCTCTAATCTGCTGTTTAACATTAATCATTCCTACAATATTTTTATTTGGGGGAGAGGCAATAACCAACATACAGAAAATAGTTTGCCAAAAGAGGAAGAACTTAATTCTTTCTAGTTCTGCCACCTGTTTGGGCAGTTCCCTTGAATATGATGATGTTGAATGGGTCCTTGAAGACAGGGCTTCTGGCCATCTCAAGGCCTGAACTTCCAGGGCCTATAACAGTCCTTGACACATAGTAGGTACATAATAAGCATGCTGAAAAACTGGATGACAGAATGAGGATGTGGTTTAGAATAACTCCTATTGGAAAAACCTCTCAAAGAGTCTGACTAGTGGTCTGGGTCACCACTGTCACTTTTCTGGGCATAGGACTCTAACCTAAGGGAGAGTATTCTATGTGGGCCAGCTTGACTCTTCTGAAGAACTTTCATACACAGAGTCTTTAGAATAGTGGCTCTACCAAAACTGTAAGTTGTTGCTTTTATCACTAGTGTTTTGTGGGTGATTATAGAGATTTTCATTATTAAAAAAAAAAGTGTAGGGGGCTAGGGTTGTAGCTCAGTGGTGGAGTGCTTGCTTAGCATGTGTGAGGCACTGGGTTCACCACGTAAAACACCACATAAAAATACTGTGTGTTCATCTACAGCTAAAAAAAATTTTAAAAAGTGTAGTTCTGGGATGAATAACCATTAGTTTTTCAATTCTTTTTTTAACCATCTTCTGAAGCTTTCCCACAGCCTTCTTTGCTCACAGCTAGAACCTTAGGTCTGTTAAGTTTGGAAGGATCTTGACAGCCCTTTGCCAAGAGGTTTTGTATGCAAGGAAGAGAAGGTGAATTAGGAAACTTTCCCAGTTTGTTTTATTCCTGAAGCTTAAGTACTGAGGCACACTTGAATGGAAGATGGGAACTCATTTTTAAAATGCATTTGATGAGTCATGGGGTCCAATTCTTTCCATATGTATATTGTAACATTGTTAGAATAAGGGAAAACAAGACATTTAGTACATCTATGGACAATTTCTTAAGTTAGGGGATAAGGTGTGTATTTTGCCGAATATGGACCAATGGTGAACTCATTCTAGTTATGTATAGAAACAATTTAACTGGGAGTCTCCAGAATAGAATTGTCATGTTGGGATGCACCAGCAGGTGGCAATGTGTCCAGGTCTAATCATAGGAAAGTGGCTTGGAACCCTAATCTGCCTCTATTCTTTCCAAAAATAAACATTACAAAATTAGCTGGCTGTGCCCTGAACTTTAAAAAAAAAAAAAAAATCCAGCAAAAGGAGAGTCATCATTGGCTCTGTTTATCTTTTCTATTTTTTTTTTTTTACCCCTTTCGAACGTCAGCTTGAACTCATGCATCTATTCAGGGATAATGATCCTTTCATGAACTGTTGTGGAATGACTTTTAGAAACAGCATTGTTAAGAGGTAATTGTTTCCTCTCTCCACATCCACTGTTTATTAGACTGGATTTCCACAAAATGGCTGAAAGTCTCTTTACCACCGACGCAGGTTTAATCTCAGAAGTCAGAAAAGAGTTGGATAAAAGGGATAGCTACTTTACACAGGAAGATTGGAGAACTATATTTGTATGTGGTACTCCAATTGTCACAATACTGAATAATTTCATCATAAAACTAGATAGTTATCTAAAGTGTCTACCCTGTACAGAAAGAAACCAGAAAAATAATTAAAATTAAGAAGGCTTCAGAGAGAACCGGATGCTATTTACTGAATATTTATACTTTATTTTCTTCTCTCTCTTTCCACAACAAGCTTGTTAAGTCGCTATGGAAAACACCATGCTTCCTCAATTTGGCAAATAATACACTTCGTTTTGCCAAGGCAAAACAGCCTA